ATATATACGTATATTCGGATACTACTAGAGTATATACTATGGTCAATAGTTAAATTACATGTACGTAAACGTGCGTAGGTCCGTATTTATTATCTTTTACATCAAAGATTACCTAAAAAAGGATATGAAGGTATAATACTAAAGGAGGTATATTATTCCGCAAAATACGGTACATAATTAGAAAATATAACCCGTGCCGAATTTTACAAAAACTCATTTTTGATTTCCGATGTATGTAGTTACAAAACTATTTAAAACAATCATACTATTTGATAAATGTGATCAGAAGTTGACCAGACAAGAGACCTCTCTACCATTGATCAAACCATTTTTGGTTAATAAATAATTGGATCAACCCTGGATAGTGATTGGAACCGTCCAGAATGTCACCGGATTTACTTATTTTTGCAAGTTAGGGTGTCCAGGATTATGATGAGAAGATTAGCCAATAAAATTTCAAAAAGAACCAAGTCAGGTGATTATAGTCACCGGTTTATAATTATGCGATTTCATTATGTCGCATCAATAATCCTGGACACCCTACTGCAAGTGATACAAATAGTAAATATTCATTTGTTGTTATTTCGCTAAAAGCACGTGAAATTTTGACCTGCGTTAGGGTTAGGGTTAAGGTTGGTATAAAGAACGTCGTATAGTAAAATTTGGTCAGGAATTTTTTTTATTAGAACGTAAAAGGTAATTTCTTAGGCAAAATTTTGAGTTACCGGCAATGTTTTGAAAAAGCCTTCGATTTCACATTACACAAAGGTTTGGATTTGTATTACTTGCAAAAATGAGTGTACGCGAATATCACCCAGGTTAACTGGCGTGGCCAACCAACAGTTGATCCATAAATAACCGTATTTACTAATTTTCCTCCAAAGTTTCTGATTCTGACCAATCAGAATGCAAGATTAGATGTAATGTAAAGATCAAAATAATAATCACTTTTTTTTCAAAAGTTCTATTTATTTCAAAATTTCATCTAAGAAATCACCTTTTGGGCACTAAAAAAAAAATTTTTTTGCAAAATTTTGGTATAATGTTGTTTATTAATATTAACTTCAAATTTTATTTTTTTTTTGTAATTTGGTTATTTCGCCCTTATTTATTTAGGATTTAGTTATTCAAAAAATTTTGCTAAATTTCTGTCTATAATTATTTAAATCTTGACAAAACAAAGACTCATCAACACAATATCAATATATATATATCAATATGACCTGTCTCAGTAGCACTTGATCTTTTTTCAGGTTTTAACTTCCTAAGAACTTTTTCTTTTTAATCAATGATTAGCAGCTATAAGTTTATCAAAAAGCAAAAAAAATGAAAATAAGAGAATAATAAAAAAATCAAGATATAGAGAAATATAATAAAATATACAAACAAGAAAAAAAGAGTAAAAAAGTAATAAAAACAGAATACAACCCAATTTTACTTATCTTAATATTGATTATAAGTTTGTATTAGACTTGTAAAAATTATATATTACTATATAAATTAATCTTTATCCTATATTTATATAATTAGTATATCTAAGCAAAAACTAATAGAAAAATTTATTGTTATTAGGTGATTCGTTGGTTTAATTGGTTTATATATAAAATTATAGAATTTATATGCTAAATTAACTCACCAGAGGCGTGATGATAGTGATTTGATAATAATTTGTTTTATTAAATGAGTTTAACTAGATGATTTATTAAATATATTAGATAAAAGTTATTAGAATCCCATAAGATGTTCTTTTTAGAAAAGTAAAATGCTAAAGTTTTTATAGCTTTAACGAATATAAAGGATTCAAAAGGCTTAGAAGTGACTCACATATTATATCTTTAATGAATTTAAGGAAACTAGTTCTAAGCTAAGTGGCTTACAATAATAATTTACAATATTATTATTATAACAAGAAAGGTTTTGTTTCACTCAATACAATTATTCACTTTTTTAGCCACTTCAGCTATATCCAAATCTTGATACTCGGTCTTCTTCTATTTTTTTTTATATATTCCTTGTTCTTCAGATTTCACATTGATTATTGTTTATCTTATTTGGCCAATAAGCCTCAACCAATAACTAGTTTTTTTTAAATCTATTGTTTCAATTATGAGTTTGCTATGCCTAATTTTATAGATCTTTCCTTTTAGTCCATAACATTCATCCAACCTTATTTTATATATACTAGACATAAATTATTATAATAAAATTAATAGAGTTAATAATATTTAAACACAAAAATAAAATATTAAATAAAATAATTAAAAAAAATTCTTATTCTGGTATATTATCTCTAAGAGGCCATATTATATCTTTGGCCATTAGGAAGGTATTAGCTTGCTCATAACAAGTTTCAAACCCTAATCTTTTTAATCAACAGATAAACATTCTAACATATTTGTCTATATCAGAATGATGACTAATTTTGAAAATCTAACTCCTTAAGTTTGTAATTTATATAACCTAATAATCTAATAGAAAAATTTCTTAAAACCTTAATTTACAAGATTTAAAAATTAACTTTAGAGATAATGCCTCAAAAATTTAAAAAACAACATGATCATCCTAAAAGACAAAGGTATATATAAATTAATAATATATATACAAAAATAAAAACAAAAATGAAATTAATAAAATAATGAATTATAATATATAGTAAAAAGATTGATAAAGAACAACAAAAAGAAGTTATCGATAAAGTACAACAAAAAGATAAAGAATTACAAATATTATCTGATAAGTTTATACAATTAGAACAAATTGCAGATAAATTTTAAAAACAAGAACAAAAAAGAAAAGATTAAATAGATTATCTAATTAAATTATTATATATTGAGGAAAAATATAAGTATAAAACAGTAGAAATAGAAGACTCTATATATAATACTATTAGATATTTTAGAAAAGAATCAGCTAAAAAATCAAAAAAATTTCGAAAATTAAAACAACAATTAAAACGATATGAAGAAAATCAAGAAGCCAAAGAAGCAGGAGAAAATCTTTGAAAAGAATGAGATGAATGGTATTTTACAAATTAGAGACTAAAAAATTCAACTAATAAATTAAAAGTTAAATTAACTAAAGAAAAACAAAGATTACAAGTAAAATTAAAAGAAATAAAAGAACTAAAGAAAGAAATAGTAATAGTAAAAGAAGAACAAACAGGATTTAAAAATGAATTACAATGGTAAAAGTAAAGTTTTAACTTATAATTATAATTAAAATATTAATTTAAGCTTTTAAAAAAGATTGGTGGATTGCTAATATGGAAGAAGAAAATACAAAACTTTGAGAAAAATGTGAAATATATAAAGAAAGTAAACATAGTTAGTGTGAAGTTTTTGATAATAAATCTAATTGGGAAAAACAAAACAATTCTATAAAAAAATATCAAGATATAGTAGTAAATAATAATACTACTAATGAAGATAAGGATAGTATTCAAACAATTAGATAGAATGAATATATAATGGATATAGAAGAAATATTGATTGAATTTGAAGTTAAAAAAAATGAAGATAAAAATCATCTTGAATACTTAAATAAAATTGCATATAGAGAATAGAAACAAAAACAAGATATAGAATATAATAGTATGGAAGATATAGAAGATAAAATCTAAATAAATTTTGCAGAAACAGAAGAGAGTAGTAAATCTAAGACTTTTTGGTTCAAAAGAGAAAAGAAAAATTATAGTCAAATAGAGGCAAAAGCTCATTATGAAGCTCTTATGAAACGTTTAGAAAAGAAGATTTCTTTTAGTTTCATTGTATATATAGCAGATATATATATATATTTTTTTTAGAAGTATTATTTCAATTTCCAAAATTTTGTTTTGATAATGGTATCGCATGATGGCCATGGTCATATAAACATATAAGAAAAATAGTATTCTTTGATCATATGGGTATTTTGTAACAAAATCATAAAACATGGCTATTGAAAGATCTAATTTTCAAACTGTATTGATTCTTTGTACAAGATGTCTGCTTTTTCTTTTTGTATTGGTAATGACATATGATATTACTATTTTGGGTTATTGTAAGTTCTTTATATTCACTTCCTCTATTGTAAGATATCTATTACAAGATTCAAGACTATAAACGAGTTACTTGAGCATGAACTTAGATCTTACTGATTAATTTTGTCAAAGCTTTAGGAGGAGATATACTACTTGAAAGTTCCATGTTCTATCTGTTATAAACTTTATGCTGTTATCTAATAACTTTAATAAATCAAAATCTATAATGATCATTCTACTATTAATTACTAATATATTTTTATCATGAAGATTGTGATAAACAATATTTGCATTATGCAAACAATTGATCCTATTAGAAATTTCCTTTGCCATTCTTATTTTAGTTGTCCAATCTAATTTATTTTTTAGAATTGGATAGTAAATTTATAATTTGAGCAATTCTCCATCTAATAATAAGATAATTTTCCTTCTTTTATCTGTAAAGTGTCTCACTTAATTAGTAAACTTAATGTATTTTTTGGAAGAAAAATAAAGTTTTCTGATACAAAAGCCTTATCTGGATACTTTGCTATAATAATATTATTTATTTTTGTAATTCTTGAGGCTTTTTATTTTGAAATCTTTTATAGTAAATGCATGAAAAATTTAAATAGAATCAATATGTATTTTCTTTAATTAACTCCGTTAATATATCCTGATTGGTAAATTTGTTATTCCAAGATTCATAAGATTAGTTTAAACCTATATATGAACTAAATAACCATCATATTAATAGATTCGTAAGATTGGTCCTTTCTTTTAAATCCCTAAATTCAGATACAAAAACTTATTTATATAAAAAAAACTGAATAAATAATTAGTATGTATGAAATGATTTGAGAAGCATTACATAATAGTAATAGTAAATAAGTAATATAATATTGCTTTGTCTAGCAAAGCATCAAAAAGCTTAATATATATACAGTTATTCTCCCATACAATTACCTCCTATATAATCACAAACTCTATATAATCATATAATTTTATACAGGCATTTTTTTT